GATGTGAAAAACTTAAATTTTCTTCTACTTTGTTATTCTGTAGCAGAATACATTATTATTTTAATAGTTGAAATTTAGTTTGTTGCTAAAATCAAGGAGATGAAAGGGAAGTGATTTATTCATTAATTTACTATTGTTTAAATTTCATAACACAAAATGAAATTTCTACTCACCTGCCTATGTGTGTGTGTGTGTATGTGTGTGTGTGTGTGTGTATTCCATCCTGATTCAATTTATCATATACTTTTGAGTTTCATGCCTCAACTGATAGATTTGCCTTACATGGTATCTTTATATAAGATTAAATATATTTGTATATGTTGTTTTCAACATATATATTTAAGAATTTGAGATAAATAAACTTTTTTAAATGAAAGTTCATCTTGCATTCATCTGAAGGGACATAGATGTCTGGGGTGTTTTGAAAATTATAGATTATTCCAAAAGAGGCTGACAAAGGGAAATGTGTTCATGCCACACTGTAAGAAGCTACAGAATCTTGAATGTCTTCATTACAGGAAACAGTGTGCTTTATATTCTTTCAGAAGAGAATGGGAGAACAGAGACCTTAAATCCTCAGATCCCTAGAAGGAATGTAATAAGCATTTGCACCAGGATATGTGTATGATTCCCTTTCTCTTATATACAACAGCCTGAGAACTGTCAACATTCATTCTCAGATCACAAATATCACACATCAATATTATTTGGAATTTAGGTTTTATCAGGTTTCTGATACTCCTAGCTATTACCCATCACAGTAGTCAGAGTGACTGTATTATTTAACCCTTCAGAGAACACTGAAGCCAGCTAGTTCAGGATACTGGGAGTCAACCAAAGCTGCCTGCATCTCTGCTGCTTCCTCAGAGGAAAATTCCCTGGGAATCTAGATAAAGAGAGAGACAATATCTTCTTCCATGACAGACAAATTGGAGACACTTCCCCCTTACTCCAGGGTCACAAAATGGTGATAGCAATTTCAGATTTGTCTTCTTTTCTGTGCAACAGCCATAACACTCAGGTCTATCACCTACTCACGGATCTACCAAAATATCTGATCTTAAAGAAACAAGAAAAACGAAACAGAACAGAACCGTTGACTTGAAAGGTGGCTCAGTCATGAAAACGGTTGCCACGCAAACATCAGGACTTGCGTTTGACCCCCAGAATCTATTTAAAATAAAAGCTGGTGTAGTGGTGTGGACCCTTAATCCCAGAATCTGGGGGAGGGGACAAGACCATCCCTAAGGCTGCCTAGCCAGCCTGTCTAGCCTAATAGCAAGCTCCAGGCCAGTTAGGGACACCATCTTAAATAATAATAATATTAATAATAATAAGGTAGAAGGCACCCGAGGAACAGCAAGTGAGACTCTCCTTTGGCCACCACACGCATGTGTATATGTGCACGGGAACCTACATATTACTGTATACTCACCTTCACATGGAGACACATGCTTGTGAGTATGCCTATGTGCACACACGAACACACGCTCAAAAAGCTGCCGTTTTCACAATAACAAAAATGTAAAAATCAAGTACAGTGTGACATGAGGTAAAGTTATTAAATTTACAATGATATAGATGAAGATGCCTTCATTCTTGAAAAATATTCTATACTAGCTTGTCCCATCTGGTGTATAATGCTAGGTTTGCGGCACACATTTTAACATCTCAAACAGGATGGTGAAGCAGGAGGCTCAAGAGTTCAGGACTCGCCTAGTAGCCAATCACAACTGGGTTAAATGAAACTCAGTAATTAAAAACAAGTTATTAAAATTCATTAATATACATTATTAATGTATACAAATTAATGTGCATACAAATTAGATTTAGTTTGTAGCTTGAGCTCATCTTAATATTTTTTTTCTATGATAGGTAGCAAAAGTTTTAAAAAGTATTTGGAACATATCACAAGATCTCATTATTATTAAGTTGCTAATTCATCTCAAATAACATACATATTAATTTCAAAATTATCTTCTGCAGAGATAACAGTCTGTAGTAAACACAGTGTGATGTACTAGGGGAAGGCTACTCCATACACTCAATGTAGTGTTGAGCTACTGATGGGCAGTTTTGAGCAGTAGAACTGACTTGGGGACCAGGGCATGTCTCTCTTAGTACACGTCCTGCAGAAAGGAATATCAAAATGGAGAAAATATAGGCACCCAAGTTTGACTGATTTTTCTTCTTTGATGCTAGATGAAAGTAAGATCTATCATTTATTTATTTATCTATTTATTTGTTTAAGAGAAAATGGGCTTATCTGTTAAGGCCATGCAAGTAGTCATCTGCCTTTCTGAAAGCAAAGACCATCAATCAACAATAAAACAGTGCCCTCCTCCTGGGGATTCTCCTATATCAATGTTCAGGGACACTTCAAGAGGGAAAAAAGGAAGGAGACAGAGAGAGAACTGGAAGGACATCACTGGCCATAATCGCAAGGTTTTTGTTGTTTGTCCGTTTGATTTTGTTTTGTTTTGTTTTGTTTTTCTTCAGTTAAGTACTCAGTGAATTTTGTATGTTTCAGAAAATAATTGTGTCTCATCTTCGCCCTTTTAAGAGGAAAAGATTTCTGTTCCAGACCTTCTTCCTTTTCTCCCTCTCCTGCCCATCTTCTCTGTTTCTGAGTCTCCTATATTGCTCTTGTTCTTCTGCTTGTTATCCTGAATCTTCACTGAAATTTCACAAGCTACATCAACTTCTCTTGAGTAGCACTATTGGTAGAGTTTTCAAAGGAAGGGATTCCCCGACCCCCCCCCCCCTTATAAAATAACTAGTTGCCCTCTAGCTCATAATTAACCTCTTGATGAAACAAATGTTTCTTGAACTCTACCTTATATTTCTTCCCAGACTAGACTCATTGTTTTAGAGCCCCCCCCCAACCAAAAGAAATTATATTCAAATTGGAATGAAAGAGTATTCCATTCTCAGTAAGTCTGAGAGAGTATTTCATTTTCAAAGATCAGAGATCCCGACAATTTAATTTTGATGCCTTAAGACTAGATTCTAGTCTCTAAGAGAGTCAATACAACAAAAATATTTTCTAGGTATTTTAGGTTGGTATTGTATAACTCTTATCCCTGAGAAACCCCAGTGACCATGTAAAGATTTGTGTCATCTCTCTTCTCCCATGGATACCTCAGTAAATTTCAAGTGCATTTGAGCTATACAGGCCACTAAATGGAGACAAAATGAGGGATGGAAACCACACCAACAGAAAGCATGAGGGTTACTCTGTGTGTGTGTGTGTGTGTGTGTGTGTGTGTGTGTGTGTGTGTATGAAAGAGAGAGGGGGACATGTGTATCTACATATATATATACATTTATAACATATATATTATATATAATATATATACATATATATGTATATGTATATATATATATATATACATAATGATTTGTGGGAATAATCTCAGTCCGAATCTGCAGGTAATAGTCATAACACACATGTTGTAAACTAATGTCAAACATTTGACTGTTGAGTGACCTTAACGCAGAGTGACCAATAGAGTGGCTCACTGGTAGTTTAAATTGCTATGTGCAATGGACAGACGGCAGATGGTTTAGGCATATAAGTGGGTGGAGTCACCTTGGCATGATCTGGACTGCCTTCCAGGGGCAAAGCTCGGCTTCCCATTCACAATAAAATCTGTCACTTATTTGGGTGGTAGTGATGTTTATCCTGCCTAGTGGAGAGATCCGTGACTGGATAAGACGCTGATTAAATCAGGTTTGGATTGAAAAATCTCAGTAGTGGAAATTAATCCTTTTATTAGATGGTATAAAAGGCCTTAAAGTGTGATTTAAAGTCTCTTTTTTTATCAAATAATTTTATCATTATAAATGTGAGAGGAACCTTGAAGTAAAAAAAAAAAAGTATGTGAGAAGTTATAATAAAAAAAAAATTATGAACTTTTTTACCAGAGAAGGGGATATAGGGACACAATGATTTCTCATAGAGACATTACTGACCAAAACCTCTGATGGAAGATTTACCTGCTATTTAATGTGATAAAATGTGATTCCCTATGTAATTCCCCATGGATTTTTGCTTCCTGGTGAACAAGGTTAGATTATAACATACAGTGAGACTTTACCTACCTTCTCATATAACATAGGTAACAAATAGCCTCAGTTCAAATCATATACTCAAAGCTGAAGTTTTCCAAAGAGGGTCTAAGAGTGTCATAACCCTTTGAGAGAGAATTATTGCATCAATGTGGAGTGAAGCTAGGCCTCAAAACTGGGTCATACAACATATTCTGTGTTCATTGGATTTAGAAGAATGCTGAGCTCATTTTTGTGAGTTTTCATGGTTTTGTGTGTGTGTGTGTGTGTGTGATTAAAAAATACTTTATGTTTTCTGCCAATAAAAAAAATTCTCAAAAGTACAGGAAGTAGAGTAAACGTTGAATGCATACTAAAGATTTGGAAGATGGGAAAGGAAGCAAGATCAAAGGATGGTTACCAGTCTCAGGGAACAGTGAGCCCTGATTTGATGGAAAGTTAATGCGTGTAAACAACTCGAGGGAACGTAGAGCCAGATCACTGTGCATGATAAAGAATAAGAAGGGAGAAGGGAGGGAGGAAGAGGGGGGAGTAGTTAATTTGAGAAGGCATATAAGACATATTGAGGCCATGGAGTCCTAGGAACTAAAAGTGAAAATGAATCTCATCCGTCCTAACAGGGTCACTTGCTTTTCTCCCGAATGGGGTATCTTTTCTTCCATGGAAACTCATTCTGATGTGGTAAATTGTGCAGAGAAACAAAGCCTGTGCTTGAAGGGAGTCTCTCTGTGCTCCCCAGGAACTCATCTGCTAATAAAGTGCCTGTGGGAATGAGTAGTTATAAAAATGTTTATCCCCAGGATAATTATTAGCCAACACTGAAAGCATTCTCTACTTTCCCACATGTCACAAAACAGGAGTGGGGCAAAGCACCACTCCAGCACCACGGATATTGCTCAGCTAATGTTCTGTCTCTCCCCTGTCCACAGAACCTAAAGTAAGCTGCAAGCTAGGCCGGTCTGCATCTACGTCAGGAGTTCCTCCTCCTTCAGTTACTCCTCTCAGGCAAGCCAGCGACCTACAACAGAGCCAGGTACCATCATCGTTAGCCAATCGTGATTGACTTCCTGTGATGCAGCATACCAAATGCTTCCCACCTGTCTGTCCTGTGTTGCTGTAGACAACGTTTGCATTTGCTTTGATTTTTCTCTGTGTGTATGGGTAGGGGAGGAGTTGAGCATCTGTGTTTTCATCCCCAAGAGAATGTCTTTCTTCTTTGTGATTGGTGAAACTTTCTTTGCTGTTTGTTACTGAATTGTTTTATGTCTCTGGTTTCCATCATTCTGAAATATAAATGTAGTAATTGTGCACTGTTTGTATGGGCATAGTGGCTATTTAAAAAAAAAATTCGTTCTCTTTTCCATGTTTTGTGTACTTTTATACTGTCTTTGAAAATTTATCAACATTTGATAAATTTGTCTACTTTTTTTGTGTAAATTTCTTTTTAAATGTTTTGTCCACAATATTTGCACAGATGTTGTCAATGAATCTGTACATTTATTTTTAACTTACCCTACTATACTGTAATTTACTTAAATTTTTATTTAGCTTCAAGCATGATTGTAAGACAATGTCAATATTGATGTTCTTATAAATATTCATATATTTATCAACTCCTTGGATTGAATGTGGCAGCTAGTCTTTCTTAGGCCATATAGACAAATTAGCCAAGCAGATAATTTAGATATTTACTGACAGCTGTAGATTAATAAGGCAAACTTTTAAATAAATGGCATCTCTCTCTTAAACCAACACTATCAGAAATGTCCTCAGAAAGGGGAATGTAAGTGTCTATGCATGGCAAATGAGATCTTCATTATCATTTGGAGAAAAGAGATAAGAAATAAAGGCATAAGCTAAAATACCATCTATTCTTTTATAGTATAATATGTTGTTTTCATGTTCATTTGGGTACATGGCTATGAATGGGAGTTAAGACCATGGAAAATCACTACATGTAAATATTGTTTTTTAATTCGACCAATAAGAACCCAATACCTCAACTTAACTGGTGAGGTTTAGTCATTGTCGCTTTGAGGTATTGTGGTTATTAAGCAGGACAGCGTCACTTTGGAGTAGTTCTGCTTTTCTGCTCTTGTGTTTGCCTCCAGAATTCTCTGGTGAAAGAGGAAGTTTTAAAACTAACGATAAGATCTTCTAGGAAACTGCCCAGCACTAATCATCAAATTGCACATTCACCAATATGTTAAATGTCAGGATCTTTTAAGAACATAACTAAGAGAGTATTTGCAATTTGCAATGAGAGGCATTGTGCTTCCTAGTATTTCTCTCTGACTAAACTCTGCACAGTATTTAATTTATGCATATATCAATATCTACAAACACTTGTCTCTCTCAGGTGCATCTCAAGTGTCATTTAGGATTTCTTGTGTCTTAATTTAAACCACTAAAGGCCTTTGTAAGTAAATGTGTCCCTCTGAACTACTTCCAGGATCACAGGACAAGTCATCAGAGGACACTTGCCCCTGAGTCACAGTGACAAAAGAACCCTTTCTCTACTATCTCTCAAATATTTAAAAAGGGCCATAGGCTGTAATATGAAGATTAGTCTCTTCTAACACAGTTAGGAAACTCTGCCTCCCACTTGTCTGATTTGATTGTATGCTTATGGTTATATAACATGGAACGAGAAAAATAACCAAAACAGAGCAGGTGACCAAAGCTGACCTTTTCCTGAACACAGAGCTTCCTTGCAGAAGAGATTCCCATGGGATTTCTATGGACCATGCAGGAGATATGGGTAATAGCATCTGTCATTTATGTTAGTTTACCTTGAGGTTAGACCAGCTTAATTTTCTAAATACAGAAAAACCCAAAAGAGGAATATTAAAACAGATACAAAGATCCTTAGATGAAGTCAGCTCATGTTGGGAAAATGTTTATCTGTACTAACTTCAAACTGAAAAAGAAATTGTATTGGCAATGTGTGTGTGTGTTACAGAAATGATGCTTGTTTCAATGAAATTTATTGAAGATGGGATCTAGCTCTGTGAGATATGGAATAAATTACTGCTAGTAATAAGATGACTGGTGACTAAATTAACCTATAACCATGCATTATGATGATGTTGCATTAGCATAATTCAAGTACAAAAATCCCCATTATCTTTTATGTACTCTCAATAGTTCTGTCTGATTGATTTAGGAAAATGAAAGGGTTTACTTTCTTGTAGAGTTCTCTATTCTGTTTAATTAATGTCAGAGTTAAATAAGGAAAAGATTACCTTTAAATGGCAGCTGGATCTTGAAATGTTGGAATTATTTGATTTCTACATTCATACATGGAATTCAGACAGCTGGGATTCTGATTATATTTTATAACCAACTATGTCATGGATATTTTGGCATATGATTTATATTCGCATGGCCATTATATTTGTATGCTTTAAGTAACAGATATTTAGAGGCCACTTTTTTAATTCATAACCAACATCTCAAGAAATCTGTTACTGAGTAGAATACAACAAAGTCAAACCTGCTCCCAACAGGCTTACCATTGGATTACTTCCAGGTGTGAGACAGAGAACGGAGATTTAGAACTCTCTCTAAGAAGACTTAAATTCATGGGGCAGAATTGTTTTAGTTTCTCTCAATTTAATTTGATGTTGGCTATCAGCTTGCTATTTATTGCTTTCATTATGTTTAGGTATGGACATTCTATCGCTGATATTTTCAAGACTTTTATCATGAAGGGGTGTTGGATTTTGTCAAAGGCTTTTTCTGCATTTAATGAGATTATCACATGATCATTTTCTTTCAGTTTGTTTATATGGTGGATTACATTAATGGATTTTAGTATATTGAACCATCCCTGCATCCCTGAAATGAAGTGTACTTGATCATGGTGGATGATGTATCTCATGTGTTCTTGAATTTGGTTTGCAAATATTTAATTGAGCATTTTTGCATCAATGTTCATCAGGGAAAATAGTCTGAAATTTTCTTTCTTTGTTGAGTCTTTGTGTGGTTTAGGTCTCAGGGTGATGGTGGCTTCATAGAATGAGTTTGGTAATGTCCTTTCTATTTCTATTTTGTGGAATAGCTTGAGGTGTATTGTTTTTAGCTCTTCTTTGAAAGTCTGGTAGAATTCTATACTAAAACCATCTGGTCCTGGGTTGTTTTTTTGTTGTTGTTGTTGTTGTTGTTGTTGTTTATGATTGGGAAAAATCTTTTTTACATTTATGTATTTATCTATCTATCTATTTATTACAATTTATTCACTTTGTATCCCAGCTATAACTCCCTTCCTCATTCCTTCCCTATCCCACCCTCACTTCCTTTTTCCTCCCATGCCCCTCCTCCAGTCCACTGATAGTGGAGATCCTCCTCCCCTTCCCTTTGACCCTAGCCTATCAGGTCTTATCAGGACTGGCTGCATTGTCTTCCTCTGTGGCCTGGTAAGGCTGATCCCCTATCAGGGGGAGGTGATCAAAGAGCTAGCCACTGAGTTCATGTCAGAGACAGCCCCTGTTCCCACTACTAGGACACCCACTTGGACACTGAGCTGCCATGGGCTACATCTGTGCAAGGGTTCTAGGTTATCTTCACAAATAGTCCTTGGTTGGAGTATCAGTCTCAGAAAAGACCACTGTTTCCAGATTTTTTGGTTCTATTGTTCTCCTTATGGATATCCTGCCCCCCCCCCCGTCTTTCATTTCCCCCTTCTTTCATAAGATTCCCTGCACTCTCCCCAAAGTTTGGTTAGGAGTCTCAATATCTGCAGGATAGAGCCTTTCAGAGGCCCTCTATGGTAGGTTCCTGTCCTGTTCCCTGTTTTCTCCCTCTATCCCATTTGCCTTTCTGAATGAGGATTGATCATCTTACCCAGAGTCCTCCTCCTTGCTTAGCTTCTTTAGGTGTACAGATTTTAGTGTGTTTATCCTATATTGTATTCTAATATTCACTTATAATTCAGTATATAACATGTGTGTCTTTCTGCTTCTGGAATACCTCACTCAGGATAATCTTGTCTAGTTTCCACCTTTGCCTGCAAATTTCAATGGAATACTATTCAGCACTTAAAAACAAGGAAATCATGTTGGGAGAATTTTGCTGACTGTTTCTACTTTCTTAGGGGTTATAAGTCTGTTCACATTGTTTATCTGATCTTGATTTAGCTTTGATAGGTGAAATCCATCAAGAAAATTGTCCATTTCTGTTAGGTTTTAAAATTTTGTGGAATTCAGGCTTTTTGAAGTAATATCCAATGATTTCCTGGATTTCTTCAGGGTCTGTTGTTCTCTCCTCGTTTTCATTTCTGCTTTTGTTGATTTGGATACTGTCTTTCTGTGTTTTAGTTAGTCTGATGAGGGGTCTATCTTGTTGATTTTCTCAAAGAACCAACTCTTGGTTGATTCTTTGTTTTGTTCTCTTTGTTTCTAAGTTATTGACTTCAGCCCTGAGTGTGATTATTTCCTGCAGTCTCCTCCTCTTGGATGTGTCTGCTTCTTTTTGTTCTGAGCTCTTAGGTATTCTTCTAAATTGCTAGTATGAGAACTCTACAATTTCTCTATGAAGGCACTTAGTGCTATGAGCTTTCCTCTTTGCACTGCATTAATTGTGTCCCTTAAGTTTGAGATATTGTGCCTTCATTGTCATTGAATTCTAGAAAGTTTTTGGTTTCTTTCTTTATTTCTTTCCTGACCCAGTGGACATTGAGTAGGGAGTTGTTCAGTTTCCATGAGTTTGTAGGCTTTTTGTTGTTTCTGTTGTTGTTGGGTTCCAACATTGGTTGTCTGATAAGATACAAGGAGTTATTTCAGTCTTTTTGTATTTGTTGAGGCTTGCTTTGTGAGTGAGTATATGGTTAGTTTTGGAGAATGTTCTGTGAGGTGCTGAGAAGAAGGTATATTCTCTTGTGTTTGGGTGAAATGTTCTGTCGATATCTGTTAGGTCCATTTGATTCATGATGTCTGTTAGGTCTTTATTTCCCCATTTAGTTTCTGTCTTGATCTGTCCATTGGAGAAAGTGGAGTTTGCAGTCTCCCACTATTCATGTATATGATTTAAGGT